TTTATTTAAATAAATGTTCAAAAAATAACTAAAACACCATGTTTGCCCCATCTGTTTTTTATATTCATGCAGGCTTCCTGTGTGATCAGTAATACCATCAAACTGCTCCTGATTAAATTATGATAATTCTAATAGTGGCCACACTAACTGTTACGGATCAGCTGTTCAAAGACACCGTTTACAAAATAAACTAAATAAACAACTGACTTGTAAAGTGAAAGAATAGGTGTCATCCATGTGAATGTATTCAGGAATAAGGAATAGTTCACTCACAATTCATAATTGTCTCTCACTAGTCTGTAGGCCAGAGTTTAGTTATTTCATAATCCTTTATCCCTGCGATTAAATAGCAGAAATTATATGACATGAGGCAAATACTACAAAGGATTTTTTTTGGGTAAACTACATCGAGCAGTCTCTCATGTCATTGTTTGTGGGTTCCATTAAAAAAGAGTGTGAGTATACCCACTTCTCCAGGGACCACTACAATACTGGCAGACAGGAACATAGGACTCCATGTTTAGATAGATTTCGTCTTAACCAGTTCAACCTCACAACAAAATCTATAAGTTTAGTGTAGCATCATAAGCTCCTGTTGTTTATTCTGATTTTCATTACATAAGTAATTTGAAAAAAGAATGTATGGCTTACCCCATTCCTCATCTGCCTTACTATCAGAGTTGTTTAACTGAATGCAAAGGTACAGAGGTGCCGGTGTTATATTAGTGAAAAAGCTCTGCAATAAATCCTGAATTTTCAATTTTATAAAAACAAATTCTATTTTATGTCAGAAGCAATACAGAAAGCAATTTGTCATCTGGGCTTTGCCTGAACTACGGTAATATTGAACAGATTAGAATAAGCATTTAGATGCGGCTTATTTGTCAGATTAAAAGTATCTTTAAATAACAACCTTCATGAAAGTATTAAACCTTTCATAAAGCCCACATTTTTCATTGGTTTGATGTCATAATCCAGCATTGAATGTTGTGTTTTTATTAGCTGTAGGTGCAATATCAGCACAATAAACAGCTTAAAAACATCAGTCTGTGAGTATTGATTTAAATGCACGTGTAGAATAAACATGTTGAGATGACTTCCTCTGCTATGATATGACAAATACTAACCACTGCTCCACCTGCACGCCCTATTATATGTTACATTAATAAAATCTAATAATATCTGTCCAAAACATAAAGTATCATCTTATGTGGTCTAAAACTAAACAAAGTTATTAAACAACATCTTAAAATGGGGAAATATGGAGTATAAAGACTGTTACATATTCAATTATTATAATCATAATAATAAATTGGATAGTACGCTTTCAATAATATTTTCATTCTTAAGCCATAAAACTGTGAATCTGCTGATGGGTTCTATCCACAGGGCTATAAAGGTGTATATATTATTATCACTGTATATGTGTGTATTGATCAAACTGCAGAGCTCTGCAACAGAGATGGTGAAAAAAAATCTTGCAACATGAATAAAAAGAAAATTCAATTTAAAGTCACGCTAAGGGAAGGTTCGGATAAAATCCATTATAGTTTAGCATCAAAAGTATGATTTTAAGCTCAAGTAAAAAAAAAAGCCATTTGCCACAGTGTCAAATTTGTGTGCTAAAGAAATATCTCTGGTAAATCTTCACTGAGCATAAGATTATTCTATCTCAATTCGTCTATGTAAATGGAAAACAAACAGCCTGAAGCAGTGGTGGTATAACAACAGTTATGCTCAACAGAGGAAGCATCTGTGACTGACTGCTAATAATATGACAAATAATACTTTAAATATTGCGTTATCTTGTTGATAGTCTCAGCTCCAGCTACATTGACAATGCATTCTGAAATTATTGTCAGTGTTTTCAACATGTATATTTTCTTTATTCATGGTTTCAACACAACTGCTGTTAAGAGTGCTAAAGATTCCTTTAAAGTTGCCTCCAAGAGACAAAACAGAATAAAATTCAATACTTTATTTTATTGCTGACTTATTAAAACCTTCACTTCATCTTTGTTGGTGTCTCAATCTCCTTGAGAGAACGCCATTAAATTAATCCAGTATTACTTTCATTGGTTCACTGCCCAATAATGAAGATGTTGGTAATAATTATTCACATCTCAGTGATTCTATTAGATTGCAAGTTGTGTGTCCATGTGCAAATGTGTCAGCAGCAAAACAGCACAGTTCCCCTCCAACACACACACGCTGCAGTTTGAATGTTCATTCTCCTCTGTCGGTTATATGACTTTGCTCTCTTTATAAACTCTTACTTGAAATGCAATTTTTTTTTTGTTTATCCTAACAAGCAATACACAGCAAGAAAGGCGTTTAGTGTGACTATTTCTTAAAAGAAGCTACTGTTAAAGGGACATTGTTTAACTATTTCTTTTTACCACCTTAAATTGATGTTTGCATTTACATATGTCTTATTATTGGTGTGTCATTACTTCCACTAATGATCTTATACATTTATAAAAGCAAAGAATTCTACATTGGTTTATTCATAAGGCTGGTCAATTCTTAGCAAAGTGCCATGAAATTCTGCCATCTTCACAAAAGCAGCTGCTGAAACAATGTAAACATTCTTTTACCTGCCATGTCTGTGTTGTTACGCTTTTTCCTTTAATTTATTATTTTAATTTATTATACAATTTGCAGTATTTAGGAAATCACAAACCTATTCACCTGAGTTAAACTCAAGAAAAGTATGGGGATGACATGGTTACACTTGAGTTGTGGAGGCTTTGTGACACACAGCATCAATCATAGCTGCAATATATGCTTGAGTTAGTGACGCTCTGGGTTCAAGTGTTCAGTCTATTTAAATAGCACTATTTAACCGGTAAATAACAGTTATTCTTACACAATATCCCTCAAACCGAGTGAAGACAAGTTAACCTGGCAGTAGCCAGACTGATATGTGTAGAACTGAGTTGAGTTCTACATTTTCAATCTGGGATGGCTTGTGTTCATTCTGTCCATGAAAAGGAGGGTCGTTAAGTACAATACTTCGAGCTGATTGGGTGACATGCCAGCTAGTACCTGCCTTTCATAATACGCTTTAATCCAATCGTAGCAGCAAACTGTGACGTTTCGTAAGCTGATAAATCAAAATATTTCCAAATCCTGTTGGAAGAAAAGCACAGACATCTTTTCCATCTACAAATGCACAAAATGTTTCTCTTTGCTCCTTTTTTAACGAGAAACTGTTGCTTTTTTTTTTTAGCTATAAACTTAGTCAATTGCGGTATTACAGCTGAGTCCTCCACCGTAGCAATATTTGTTATGCCCAAACAAGGCCCTTCTGACCCTATCCTACACGTCCCACCTCACTAAACACTGCGGGCATGTCATTGGTCCGACTCGCTGGTTGTTACAAGACGGACGTATTAGCGAGAGTCTTTCAAGATGGATTTGTTCTGAGACTGAAATCGATCTCAACAGATCTCGTGACAATTCAGCTTGCAGCGCAAGACAAGACAAGCTGTATTATCAAGAATCTTTATTGTCTACCGTAATTACTGTAATGAACTTTATTCTCAACACCCTAGTCAGACTGCAAATACAAGAAGGACACATAGTTAAAGAAAACTAAGCATATTTAGAGGACATACCAGTACTTAAAAATATAAAACACCCTCAGGAGAGAAAAACGAAACAAATAATCTATTATAACCCTTAACATTTCAAAGAAAATTTAGAAAATTCGTAGAAGGCATTATCATCCTTGGAATGAAAATATCTACTTTGAAATGTAGCTTGGAGTATTTCCATAAAACACTGCTTGTGCTGAAACAAGTCTATAAAATAGGCTGGTGATCTGTTTGACAGCCAACAGAGGTGTTTTTGTGTGTGTGTTATAATGTTTGTGTGTGTAAAGTAAACCTGAGATGGATTATGGTGTATGAGGGATTATTGCCTTCACTGCTTCAGGAAGAAAACTGTTATTAGATCTAATTGTTTCAGATTTAATTTTCCTTTATCATTTTACCGAAGGAAGTGGGACAACCAGTGTCCACTAACTGAGAAACTTCATCTGGGACTTTTTGTACTTGTAGTAGCTTGGGCTAAAATCTGCCTACCTGGATTAAAATATAAATTGGTCAAAGTAGATTCCATTATTATATTTTTTTCTTTCATGAATCGTAACTTACCATTGGCCCTGCTGGTCCAACGTCGCCTCTTTCTCCCTTTTCTCCCCGAATACCCTGAAAAGGAAACATTGTAAATAATCCAATGGGTGTGGTTTTAAATCAAACAACAACAAGAATAGATCAATAGAATTAATTAAATTGCATCAGTAACTTTACTTTGTTACTTGGTCACACAGCATCTTATCACTGCCCCAGAGTAGCTTTCATCATTTGCTGCAGATTAGGATTTCTTACCGGATATTCAAACGCAAAACTTTTCACTGGAAAATATAATAGCAATTTTATCCTTTTTTAAATCAAATCTTGGGGTTCTCGAATGTCCTATTTTGAGAGCCACTACACAATACATCACACTGTCAACATATTTAGAAAAAAAGGTTGATTTGTTTGGCAAATGTAAGGATAAAAGTATAAAATCAACAGGTTTAAATGTCTAATTTCAATGTTAGATGAAAAAATAGTAAACTCCTGAATTCTTCTAAGGAGAACGACAAATATTTCTCACTCTGATCTGAGAGCCTAAAGGACTGGCTACACGTTGGCACATGAGCGATGCTGCATTTTATTGGTCATTTTAGTACCATATATGGATGACCGTCGACCACACTGTCAGAGTTCAGTTGATGGTTGATGACAGAGTATGAAATTAGTAGAGTTTCTCCACACGTTTCTCACATATTATCCAAAAATAAGGGGTAAATGGCTTTTACACTCATTAAAATCCAACTGGGGAGAACCCTGGTTTTGGGAGAAATCAAGACAAAATGTTAACCACAGGTGAAATCCTCCTCCTTCTCGTTATATTCATCTGCTATCATCTCCTCAATCTCCTACTGTATCTCATCTTATCTCTGCAGACCATATCCAAACTATCACTGTATTTAGAACCTAAATTGTCAGGAAAGACCCACAAACACCAATGGCTGTCAAAGTAAGTTTAAGAATCAGAACCTCCTCCCAAAGTAGCTATGTGGTAGAGCTGGGTAGTGTGGTCATCATTTTCAGCTCCTTCCCAAAAAGACTTTTGACTTTTAGCAACACTTTATCTACACAATTAAAACAATTTACGTAAAACAAGTGTCAGTTAAAAATTACTATTAAGATAAAAACAAGTGTCAGTTAAAATCATTAAATTAGGAGCTTCTTAAAATGTAGATCTCCATCATCTGACACAGAACATAAAATGTTTTGAAAACCCCACAACTGAATAAAATCCTCCATGTTCTGTGTGGCTCTGGTTAAGTGAAACTGAAGCCTTATTCTGGCTTTAACGTTGCACTTCCACAGCTGCTGCATCAAGGTTTAGGTACTACCGAGGTACTACCTGCAGTCTGTCTCTATGGGACAGGTAAATGGCCATCTTTGCTTCGCTGTTTAAATAATTTAAAAGTCGGGCTTTTGGCCTATTCCTTCTGCTTTGACAAAACCCCCTATAAAAACAGCATTTGTAAAAACTATCCCAAAAAGGCTAAAAACACAAATTAAAAGGTTAAAAATGGTATTTAGCCATGCGCATTCCGAAAAAACGTGGAACATGTTTTCAGACAGAAAGCAAAAAAAAGAAAGCCTCGATACATGCTTTGCAGGAAGGCCCCCTCCATAACTTGACACATAGCCTACTAGTGTTGACCCTCGCCTGCTGTTGGATTCCTCTTTACCTGCCAGATTTGTGTTTGGGACCCAACTCTAAATCCTGAGAGCAATGAAATTGACCAACATAAACATTTGTTGTTTCCTCTGAAATCCCCTTGACTGGTTTGTCCATTCAGACTAAAACAAGATCCAGTTATTGGGCCATTATACAGCCTTTTATTATCTCTATTCACTCTACAGTAGATCCGCATTTTGGTTCCTGCTATCTAGTGTCCTAAGCTAACAGTGTTCTGACTTCTGAATAAAGACTTCACTACATATTGAGTCTGAGTTCCGACTTGGTGTATTGGGTCCAAACCAATATCCTTGCTTGTAAAGGGTGCTTAAAAAATAACTATCAGTAGCCCCGGGTGATACTGATCCATCAAAATTACCCCAGCAATATGCAGTTTTGGTTCCTTAATATCTAAACGTGCATATTAACATGACGACCAAAATGTTTAAAGTACGCTGTCCATTCTAAATAAAGAATCATACTTTGAAGTGCATGAACACACAAACACAGGCTTACTGGGGGTCCCTGAATGGAGAGTCCACTGGGTCCCTGAGGGCCAGGCGGTCCTGGAGGTCCAGATGGACCGATTTCCCCTGTAGGCCCCTGTGGTCCCTATGAAAAACAGAAAAGAAGAACAATGCTAAAATCACATAAACTAAAGCTAAACATGTTTTTGCCAGAGTAGTTTTTAGCAGGTGACTATAATGCTCATAGACTAAAAGAATTGGACATTTGTCTCATACTTAATACCCTCAGCTCAGATGAAACCTGTACAGAGGATTTGAGTGATTTTATGTTTTGGCTGTCAGGAATTAATGTTTTAAATCTTCTCACTGTGATAATGAACAACACTATTCATCCACACAGATAAGATACACAAAAGTCCCCTTTGCCCCAGAAATTTTCATATAGTGTTTTTTTTAAGCCTCTAGATCCAGCAAATGTAAAATGAACTTCAATATTAGAAATCAGTCCAAGCTCTCCAATCTAAAGCAAATGGTGTATATGCTACTTTTTTAAACAAGCCTTTATGAAAGAGTTTTTTTTTTTTTTTTGAGGGGTTGCACCTACTTCACAGAATGTGAAACAGGTGACAAGGATTAACATACACCCTCTGACCAAGTCCCATCTAGATATTAGGGTTTTCTTTGCTGGCTGTCTCTACAGTGGGATCTAAAGAAGGAATTTAATTTGGACACTTCATCCATCCATAGTCTGGTTTTTACTGCTGTTGGAGATTCATTTTATTACAGTGTTAAAAGTGCAGTCAGCTTTGCTGCAACAGCAGCCAGAACAGAAAGGCTGATTTGTGGTTCTCGTAGGTGTCAGTGCAGTGGCAGCAGTAACCAAAGCAATCCATGGGAGTTCTCGGTTCATGTGTTTCTTATCCATAAAAAAAATCCCACAACACTATGAAAGCAAAGATTTGATGTAGAAAAATGAAGGGGGAACAAAAACCGAGGCATAAAATGTTAGGTGAGGTTTAACTGTGTAATCCTCTGAATGTAGCAACAATTTTTCTTTAGGATCAAATTGTTTATAGCAGAAACTGTTAAGAGCAAGAGAGAGTGAGGCTTTGAGCAGATAATAGAAAGGTTGCATCAATACCACTAGAAATACCAGCAATATTAACTGGTAAGATGCTTAGTACAATTCAAACTTCTAAGTTTATCATTACTTTGCTTTTGGTCCACGGACATTAAGGGAAAAAAAATAATTACAGCAGCTAACTCCTCCCATGTTCATGATAATATGCTATTTTTCACCTAACATTAATATCTAATCACTGCCCACCAAGAGAAAACTTGAAGTATTGTTCTCTGTGCTGTTTTAATGTCAGAAGTTTCACCATCAGCAGGGAAAAGCTTTGAAAAGTATTGGAATCTGCCTTTGAAACATCTGATTGTTACATCTCACATCTTTAGATATCAACCTCTTTTGATTCTAAGCACGACATTTTGTGAGAAAAGCAAAGGTACGCTCATAAAAAGACCGTTGCTCTCCTATTACCTTTCACTGAGAGAAAATGTGCTAACTGACCTGAGTTACCTGGATTTTGTCTGACCTGACCAGATCCAAAGAAAACCTCTCCTGGTTTAGATTTCAGTTTTTCTAAAAGGTTTGGTTCATATTTTACCCCTTGAGAATTTGACTCATGACCTAAATCATTAAACGGACAAGTTCTGGAAGATCTGGAAACCTTTAAACTCTTACCTACAAAAATGACAAGTTTCCATCGAAGAATAGAGCCAACTATCTATTCACTATATATCATTTTATTTAGTTTTGAATATGTCATTCATTTATTTGTCTGCTGTCTATATATATTATTGCTTTTTTGTCCTTTTGTTGTTTTGTACTTTTTAATTATTTTTTATCATTATTATTGAATCTGTGATTAATTTAGTCTTCTACTCCTTGTACTTAAAAAAATGTAAACTAATAGAAAAGGGTATGAAAAAGTGTTTCTTCAAAGTTCAGCATTTAATTTGAAACTATAAGACTCAATGCAGTGGATTAATTTTATTACAAACTGGGATTAATGGCATAAGATTCTGACAGTATAATACTCTATTTGAATAATATCTAAGTAAATTGGATTGACTCAATTAAAAAAGTTTCCTGGATTGGAATCAAAATGTCTTCAAACTTGAAGAGCCCAGTGGTTTGTGTTTTTTTGTATGGCTTTTTCGGAATGATTGTGACCTGGATGGCTTAGAATCTTCACTATCAACTTGGATTGATTTCCGTTGAATCAGGACTTTTTATAGATTTGATCAAAATTGGACTTGTCAGTCTTGTGAAGTTGTTTGAGGTATCACTGGTTGTGAACGGAATTGAAATACAAATCTACCTTTTTGTAATTCTGTCTTGGTTGCTTTAAAAGAAACCTTTTGTGTTTTTCCCAAAAAAAAAGATAGGATGTATTATAAGCTGATAATTTTAGAAAACGTGTTTAGGACTTTAAGTCCACATTACTAACCGTCACTCCTGGTTCCCCTCTGTCTCCTCTGGCTCCCCTTATGCCAGGTCCACCCTGAAACCCAGGATAAAACAAATGGGTTTAAATGGAAAACAGCACAATATTTGAATGCCATAAAATCTATAAATATTAACCGTCAAAGACATAAAAAAAACTGATTTGTGATTTCCGTGTTTAAACAAATTGGCAATTATAAAAACAACCAGCTTATAACAATAACATAAAAAGAAAACACATAGCAATGCCTTTCTTATAAACAGGGGGAGAATAGCAAATGTGAATGATGGGATATTTTGATCCATTGTCTAATAGGCTATGGTTATTTTAATGATATTGGCTGTTTTTATATTTAAAAAAATTATCTCTCTAAATGAAATATGTTGAATATACATGCAAAAAAAAAAACAAAAAACTAAAAAATGATGGCGCATGTACTTTTGTTAAAAAGATCATCTATGAAAGTACTGCCAAACAGGGAGGATGGATTTTACCCAATAATGTATTTCGTTGGAAACATGGTTTGTCCTAGACTTAATAAACAATTTCGGTCCAAGTTTTAAGAGGAGTCAACCAACAGTAGAGAAAATTTAGCATTGTAAACTTTATTCATACCCCTAACCAATAAGAAAACACACTCATCCAATGAAGTGAAAACAGGTGTTGTTTGTGACCATAACCTTTATAATGTAATGTAAGTTGAAGGACTGACAGAGTCTTTGGAATAATTGCTTGACAGCTAGATAACTGTTTATAATGTAGGTTATTCTGGTGACACAGTTTTAGATACAGGCTGGTTTATTTCTGTGCACCTCGGAGGATCAAGGTCAATTAAAAGCTGAGTAGAGATAAAGTCCAACTGAATGCTAGAAGAATCTTTAATTTCTGAATTACAGCTTGATTTGACTTTGTATGAATAAAAGGCAGATGTTACCTTTTTGAATAAAAGGCAGATGTTACCTTTTTATCTTAGGTGGGCTTTGTGCTACGTTTTAAGACCATTTGCTTTTTATTTTAAATCATGCAATACATATATCTATTTGTAAGCTAAATCCCAAACTCTATTAAACATGAACACATTTTGGTATGTGCAATTTAAGGTTGGAATAAAAGTTGTTTTTAAACATCAAACATATAAAAAATA